GAGAACTGAGAGGTCTCAATGAGCTTGGAGGGAGTGGCTTGAAGGCTCTGGTTTTGGCTCAGTCTCTGCATTGTGCTGCCTGCAGCATCTCAGTTCCCTGAACCTTCCCCAGGCTCTCCCCACCCATCAGTCCTCCATGGGTCTGTTTTTAAGCAAACCAGTTCCTCTTCTCACCCTTCTGAAATGTCACTGACACAACCAAGTCCTCACCTGGGGCTGCTTTTGGGGTCTCTTATGCAGACCCTTGATGGACAGTGCACAGCAAATGGTTCTCCATTTTCCGAGTCTCATCCAGGTCCTGTTGGCCACCTCTGCAAGGCCATTTCTGGCCCTGAGGGTGTTCCAGCTCCAGTGTCTCTCCTGGAGCACCCTCACCCTTATGGCATCTCCCTGCATGCACAGGCTGTGACCTCCCCACAGCCCCAGGGCCCTGCAGAGGTGTTCTGGAGCTGGAGATACAATAAAAAATATTCTTTCATTTCAGCACAGGCTGGCTGTGTTTCCATCTTTGGCAGATTGACTGACTGGTCAGGATGGAGACCCAAGACAAGCTCAGGAAGGTTCATTAAGGCCATTTGCTGCAGTTTTAGCCATGAAGGACTTTGAAGGCTTTGCTGACAGTGTATGCATTGAAGAAATAAAACACTTCAAAGGCTCCCTGCTGATTTTTCTGGGGCAGGGGGATATAGGAATGTGAAGGGACTTCTGCCAAATTTTGTCATGACTCCAGAGTGCGAGTTTGCCAAAGAAAATGTCACTTTACTGATTATAATTTAATGTTGCAAAGTAGTCATTTCCCACCACCACCTTGTTCTGAGAAATGGCTCCTTGTCTGTGGAAAACTTCAGTAAAAAGAAAAAAAACCCAAATATTCATGATGCAAACGAGAACAGAGGGAGATGGCACTGCACAAAATTTACAAGCAATTACCAAGAAACCATCAAGCCCCTCAGGAGTGGTGTGATGCCACCAAGCCCATCTAATGGAAAACCAATCAAGTCACCAAATCTTGACCCACCAAAAGATGATTGCTTGGAAAGACAACATTGCTGCTGCCCCACTACACCTGTGCTGTGCCTGCGTCCCCAGGGATTAGCTCTGATGCCACCTGGGAAATACCTGTTGGGATGACTTGACTTGGTTCTACACACAACCAAGGTGACTGGAGCCAAGGAGCCCTCCCAGAGCAGTTCCACGTACGCTGGGATGTGCTGTCCTGCTCACTGTGTTAGTTTTAGGGGATTAGGAACATGCCTAAACCCAAGAGCATGTTGGAAATGATGCTTCACACACAAAGCAGTCTGGTTTGGAGGGAAATAGCAATGTTTCTGTGATTAAATGAAAATAATTGGGGTTAAATGGGAAGGAAAATGAAATTTCCTTGCAATTACTTAGATTTACTGTAAGAAAGAATGACATACCTTGTCAATTTTATCTGCTCTCTACAGTTTTCCTTTTATGTTTTTCCTCCTACTTTTAGAAATGAATTTGGTCTCCTTTGCCTCATTAATGAGAGATTACCCAGCTTGGTCAGAAGTTTTGCATATTCCAAACGGGCTTTACTGGTACAGCTCTGAAACACTGATGTGCTCTTCTACTCCTCCAAAAACACCTTCTCCTAAAACCCAAGCAGAATAACATGGCTGTTTCCCTGAATTATTGCCCAAACATTTGGAAGTCCTTCTCTTCTCAATGGTTCTGGTGTTAAGAGGCAAAGCAAGCTGCTAACATTGTCTGCTCTCCATAAATCCTCTTTTGCTACGTGGTTCTCCCCAAGCTACCCATGTAGGGTTGTCAAATCAGAACAATGTTTGGGATTTAAGAGGAAACAATACTGCTTATTTAGTGCATTTTGCTGTACAAAGATGTCCTCACAAATAAACCAAACAAACAAAACCCCAGAAACCCAGAAATCTTCCTATTGTCAAGTCTAGGAGAAGAAGATGATTTCTGAACACAGAGCAGCATCTGGAGCAGCCACTTCAGCTCTGGTAAGATACACAAACCTTGCACAAGTTTAACCAGTGACACAAAGAGATGTGGTGGTGGTGGTAAGAGGAAAATCCCAAGGTTTCCTTTCTCCTGTTTCCCTCTTTCATTCTCCTCTCTACCCTCCCCTTTCCCCTCCTCCTTTTTTTTTTTTTTCCCCAGGATGTTTTTTGAGTTTCTGTACCACCCCTTGGAGCCCATCTAGCTCTGCCAACCTCCTCTGCACTTCTGCACCCCAGTTACTCCCACACAGCTCTTCAAAATGGCCATCATCAATCATGCCTTCCACCTTCGTTTGGAAAATGGCATGAAATTTTGCCCTTGTTTGTGGGTTTCCAGATTAGCCAGTCCCTGAAATAGCTCCAGAGTGGGTTTAAAAATTAGTGGCTGTGTCAGGCCTCACATCATGTGCACCAACCTGAACAGACACTACTCAAATTCCTCTTCACACTTGTGTTTGCTGCCTGTACAACATCCCTGGTTGCTCTCTGGGTACTATCACCAGCAGAGACAAAAAATCAATGGTGACACTTTAATAACATTTTTATTTGGGCTTGACATCCCCTGTGACTTGTTGGGAGGGTTAACTTGTGATCTGATCTGACTTTATCTCTGGAAATAATTAAAAACCAGGCAGGAATGAAAGGAAAAACTCCAAGAAAATGACCTCTTTTGATTTTGCAACCAGAGGGGACATTTTGAGTTGTGTTTGGATTTTGCATTTTGGGGGGTTTGTTTCCTTCTCTTTTTTGCAAACTAACAAATCTCTCATAAAGCTGACAAGAAGAACAAAAAGCTTTAGAGTTTTTTTAAACCAAAGAGAGGGGAAAATAGGAAGAAATTTCCAATCTTTTCATTAAGAGACAACAATAACAGCCAAAAAGAGAAAGTTTTTCAACATTATTGTTGGAAAATTTGTAAGAATAGCAAAGTTGTAGCTGTATTAACTGTACTTTCTCAGTTTTACACAAACATTTATAAAACATGAATGAATAACAGAGGGAATATTTTTAATAACAAAAAATTAGAACACAAGCTTTTAATATCTATACCAGGACAAACAGTTCATTTATTTAAACAGCAGTTTAGAAACCAGAAACAACAACAGCATAAAAAAAAAATTGTTGCTTTCCAATGGATTTAAGTTTTGGAATAAAAATTTCTTGATGGCTTCTAGGGAAGCCTTAGGTCTGTAGTAATTCTCAGGAAATAGCACTGCTGACTACAGCACAAAACAACTCCATTTGTGCTGCTTTGGAAGGCAAAACCTTTTGAAACGGGTGTAGCTTGTGATGCCATCAAAATCTTCAGAAATGTCGATATTCAAGAGTGGGGAGGGGGAGAAAAAGCAGCTCTGTTTTCCAAAAGGCGCGGGACTGGGAGAGATTAAACTGGGCAGCATCCTCGGAGGCAACACAAGGATGAACTTCAGAGTTCAGTTTGGACTGCAGCTCATAGTTGAAAGGTGACATAGACAGGACCTGCAGGGCTGCAGCCCGGGTGGACTCTGTTCTTGAGCCACAATGTGGGGATCATGCAGTGATCTGGTGAAGTGTGGAGTTAGGAGCAGAGTGGTGGTTTGCACACTTATTTCTGAGGCCCTCACCTCCGTGTTAAAGATCATCTGTCTCTGTCCACCTTGTACAACTGAAGTTGAACCCTGGCACATTGTCAGCATTGCCCAGGGCTGGGCAAGGGCGGCTGTCCCTGTTGCAAAGCAGAAGAGTATCTGCACCTGGGTGTCATGCTTGGAGTAAGAAAACTATTCTGAGAAGGCAAGAAGAATACAAAACCTCTTCTTCTACCTTTTCTCCCTCATGGTGCCTAGTTATGGAGGAAGGTTGGTTGAGTGGGAAGACTCAAGATGTGCTCTGGAACTTTAACATCAGCTTTGGATACTGATGCCTCAACCTGTGCTGCTTGAGCTGAAGTCAGTGTGTAAATGTCTAATAAAGGACATGATGGGATTTTTTCTTCCATGAGATAACCAAGAAATGGGATTTTCTTCATATTTTAAGAAATTAGACTATATCAAATGTGTAATAAAAATATTTTCTATAGGATTTTAAAATATATACATATATAAACTACCTTAATTTTTAATGCCCTGTTGATAATTGATGTGGTCTCTACAGTATCTAAGTGTAACTAAGTGAGGCTGCCCAGCAACCTCCATTATACCTCAAACAGTGATTATAAAACTTGAAGCCTTGTCCACACTGTAAATTAAACCTGCTTGAAAACAGGACCTGAAATTGTCTGCCAGGCCTGATCCAGCACCCACTGATAGTCAGGCTAAATCCACTCCTGACTGCAGGAGCTGGATTTGGTCCTAGACAGAGTCCCAAAATGCCATGGTTTCCAACCCTGTTGGCTGGGCAATGATGAAGGCACCTGAGGGAGTTACTGTGACCTTTGAGGTAAACTAAAAAATATTAGATCTTTTATTTAGAATATTTTGGGATATTTAGAAACAGTTAAGACAATCTAGGCACTTTCATACTTCATTCTGAAGAGAGACCTAAACTTACTATGTGTCCTGGACATACCCTTTGCTCAGACACTGGGTGTTGACTTGTTCACTGGCGGTGATGATGGAGCATTCCTGGCTGCCTCCTTCCCACAGCATCCATCACCCAATATCCTTCAAGTGAAGGATGCAAGTTGTCAAGAAGGGCTCCTGTGCCAGGTGCCTGCAATGGCCCATGGGGCTGAACTGGCACGTCCATCTAAGACAACCTAAAACTGGTGATGGAGGTGGAGGAGTGTGAGGGCCCACGGATTTACAGTCTGGCCCCATGTCCACCAAGGACAGGGAGGACGTGGCTT